AATAATAATAATAATAATATATAATATGTTTAGTTATACACACGTTGGTAAAATAAATATTAACTAAGTTTTCGTAAAAAGCAAGTTTAACTAAAACAATTAGTTATTGAATAATAGAAAAAAAAAGAACAAAGCTATATATTTTTCTGTAAAACTCYACAAGTCCGGMAAAACTTGTGGGTTGAAAATACGAGTATGAAAACTATATAATAATATATTATTATATGACAAGAGGACCCTCCTTGACCGAACGATAGTATAATAATGTAGTTATTTTTTGTCTACCCTAACCAAAGAAAAATCGTAAAATAAATTCGACACTTGTCGTCTATATAGAAAACAGTGTCACCGATGTAATACCTTTGCCGACGATGTAGGCGTGATCGGCGGAGTGTCTTCGTTGGTGGGCGACAGTCTGGCGTCGGGCAGACGTTGTTCCTGAACGGAAGCGAGCCTGAAAAATATAATATTATCAGTACCRCGTCGTTTARAATTATTGATAATAAACGAAAAGCATAAAATTAAGTACCTAGGTACTACGTATATAAAAAAAATTACATTTTTCTCTAGATATTGTCAAATTATTTTGAGTGGTATGATTTTTTGGAGCGTATGTATTTGCGACGAAAATGATTTTTAAGCATATTTAAGCGTATTTTCAATAAAATTCAATCGTAGGCATAATGGGGGTATATTATAGTTTACTGATGATATACATTTGTAGGTACCTGATAATTAGAGTTAGGATGTTGATGACTTTTGAATTTTTTTTCCTTTGATTTTATACAATGCTATCTTAGCTAAAATTTGTTTGATGCTCCCTTGATGCAGAATATTCTAATATTATTTTGCATTTTTAGGCATTTATACCTAAAAAGCATTTTTTCAACATTTTCAAGTAATTTTTCCTCTTTTAGGTCATTTTTTTTTTTTGTAGTTTTTATACAATGTAGGGCATTTTTCTCAAATTTTAAATTAGAGCAAGTATTAAACCCAAGTTTGGAAACAAATTTAATTTATTTAAAATTGTAAAATCTAACTTTGAATTTGGATATATTGTTTGAGACTTTGGGTGTTATATGCTGTCAATATAATATTGATAAAAAAAGTGCTCTTTCAAACATACGCCGATCATACACGCTTGTCAATTTYTTTTCACTTTCTTAATTAGTTTTTAGATCATTTTTAAAATAATTTTTTGAAGTTTTTATAGCATTTTGCACTTTATTTAGGGAATTTTTGAATTTTTTTAGGGCATATTTGTGTGTTACTTAATAAAGTAATCATCACGCATTATGTTATGGTAGGTACAATAATGTTACCTATGCATTTCATTAATTAATTATACCGTTGCGACAATGATTTACCTTTTGAGTGTTACAAGCGTTCCGGTTAATTTTTTACATCGTTTGAGTGCGCTTTCAAGACGATCGGGTTCTTCTTTGAGAAACCTATATGTACACACACAGTAGAAGACGAAAACTTGCATTATTACATTAGTACACATGGTTAATATTGTATCAGTCAATTACTTTTCCTCGGTAACCGCTCTGTCCATTTCCTTCGTCAATACTGCACGAATCGACTCTTGTAAACTCGGGAATCTCAATTTCAATTCRGCAACCGTTTTACTATTATAAGAACGTATAAATAATAAAACCAACATCAATTATAAATAATAATAAATTGTTTATAYGGGGTAATCGATTTTAACGCAAGACGCTCAGGGTTACAGAAAACACTAACGTTTTTTTGGAAACATGTATTTTCATCGTAATCGTTTTTTTTTTTTTACATATTTGAACGACAACATACATTATTAATTTCATTAGGAGTGTTTCGATGCGAAATATTCATAATATTTCGTATAATAGTAGTTTATTGGTTAGGTAAGACTTAAGGCATACAGAGCGCCGATTTATATGCAGTAAAAACAAACTAAAATGCAACAAAAAACCTTAAACACGCATAATTATATGCACTAAAATTTGAAATATGCATGAAAAATTAGCGAAACAAAATATTATTTTTTTTGAACATTTAATTAAAACAACATATTTAAAATTATGGAACCTTATACTATTAATGCTTTTCTATTCTTTTCTGACCAATTCATTTTTAATCAGTCTAGATCCACCACCCATATACAATAAAAGCCAAGAAGACCTATAACTCAACACATCATCCTAGACAGTCAAGACTTTCAAAACATCCGAAATACCTTATTAATACCCAACAACTTAGAAGAAGCTCTCTATGATGGCAACACCATAAAAATATTAAATTTTCTCACACAATTAACATTTTTAACTAACAACTATTCGTAATTTCAGACTATGTAACTTTATTTGAATTTTAATTATTAATGTAACTCACATAATAGGTATAATATGTACACAAAGCTAATAACCTTATAGTAATTGAAGCCTCTTTTCTCTTTCAATTCAAAAAAAAT